CTGTCATGTTCGTTGGGACAGCAGACGGAGCGCGACACCGTCCGGTCAACACGTGTCTGTCCGTGACCTCAGCAGCAGCCCGGGCCCGGGCCCTGGACAAATCGCTGACGTCTGGCGACCGATGACGTCTGGCGACTGATGACGGATGACGCCGATGACAAATGACGCCGTGGTGACGACCACGCCCAACCGATCGGTTCGGTCCCGACCGGCGCCGACAGCACCCGACCGTCGAGGGTCGCTCGGATTGGGATCAGCGATCCCAGCGAGTGTACGCTCAGCCGGCAGGGGGTCGATTTATATCCGTCCCTTCCCCTATCCGTCCCTATCCGTCCTTCCTTCTCCGTTCGGTTTCGTCCCTACTCCCTACCTCTGCGCCTGTCCTTCCTTCGCCATTCGGTTCCGTCATCTTATCTTCTCAGGTGTAGCCTTTAGTGGAGTATGGAGCAGGCACTAAAACGGTGTGAAGCTTCACCTCGGCAGTCCGTATATATGTATATATTGAGGACTCCATTGCTGGTAAAGTTGGCAATTACGAGCATTTATAGGTTGACCTGTCCATCGTTGTAAATTTCCACTCGAAAGTAGCGTTTTCCATATTATGATGTCTCAAGTCTTCAAAGTGCATTGTTCAGGCAAAGCAATCGCAGCAGCTCGTGAATGTCCCTTCGCGTTTAAGGATAGGCACGTCGTTTATAGGCCTGCGCATTACAAAGCTCTTAGTCATTTTGAATCGCAATAGGCGGTAAATCAATGTTTCTCGAGTATTCACTGAATCGCTGTCAGCGACTCGTTTAATTCCAGTTGCTCTAGATATGTAACAAACACGTCAGCCCTAAGTGCTTTTGAGAAATGCTTGCAAGGATGAGTCGAGTGCTGCTGGGATTAAAGAAGCTACCAGGGACTCGAGCGAGCGGCCGTGGCAGCCTCTTCCAGGGACCGGCCACATAACTCATCACAACGACCAATAAAATGGGAATTGGCCTTATAAGAGCGATGCTGCTGTTTCAGCCGTTTGTATTTTATCGACAACAATAAATACTGCGCCGTCTGCGCTGCTCTAAAAATCGGAGAACGACGCTAGATAGGGTAGTGCATGGTTCACATTCTTTTGGATGGAGCATCTTTTTCAGTCTTCAGCACTGTGGAATGTTTTATTTATTTTATTTTTCTTGATAAACTGTCATATCTTACAGATCATTTTGCACGGCTCCAAAACACATGCATGCGTAAATACATTGTTATGCAACAAACACGACTAAACGAGCAAAATGTCAGTGACATAAAGGCTGAAAACACAATCGATCACTTTGTTTACGGCTTAGCGTCATCTGGGCAAGCGAGTATTTCAGAGTAATAGCACACCTTAAACATAAATGCCTTTAGGCATAACCTATTCGCTCTTTAGCTGCAAGCTTAAACATTTACGGTTTATTTAAGCTTCAGCACTAAAGGCAAACAACAGCAAAAGATATGCCTACATTGTTTTACTCAGGATAATTTTACGTCGGTAATGCATAACAGGCAATTTACAAATGAGGATGAAAGTATGGTCTATAATTCTGAAGTAGATATAGCTATAATGTGGTACATTAAATAAAGCACGACAGGTATTGAAAAAAGTAATTAGACGCCACAGGAAATTGAAATAGAGAAAACACGATATTTAATCAAAAATAAATTAAATATCAAGTAGGTAGGTAATGGGTGATGATGCGTAAAAGAATAAAGAACGGCGCCGTCGATCAGTCTCCGACTGAATCAATTATAATAAAATTCATTAATATAAACACTGAATCCCATACGTCAATCATTGGATAGTTAATGCGCAGTTGAGAACAATTCGGAGTACGCCCTGCGCCTTTTCTGGCAAACCATGTATCCCAGCTTCCAATGAATCACGTCCATCAAAATGTTTAAAGTCTGAAAGGATATCGATATTCAGTCCAGACGTGCCATTCATAAAGAGTTCTTCAATGGGGAACTCTTTATGATGCTGTCTGCCTCGTTGCTCGTGAAGCTGTGCCACTGTTAATGGACTTTCCCGCACCAGGGAGCCAGTATACTGGCGAGTAGAAATGTTTTCGGAAATATATTCCCGAAAAACATTTCTCAAACTCAAATTTGAGACAGGGGAACTTCTCCCAAACGCTCTACGAATGGCACAGCTGCACCGAATCTGCACAGGTCTCAGCAGAACGAAAAGAGAAAGTTCCGAATCACATTCATGGATGAGGCAAATGTCGCAATTTAACTTCCTCCAGGGACATGGCGAGAGGGGTTAAACAATTCACCGCACGACGTTGACTCATCCATAAAAACCTCTAAAGGCAACTACACCTTTTTGCACTCAAAATAGGCATCTTTTCATTCAATTTCGGCGAATTGCATTCAATTTTAGCGATCTCTCATTTGTTTCGAATAGAGAGATCGCTAAAATTGAATGCAATTCGCCGAAATTGAATGAAAAGATGCCTATTTTGAGTGCAAAAAGGTGTACTATGTATTTCAGACCCCATGAGACCCTGTTTTTCGGCGATAATTTCTTCAGTTTTTGAATAATTGGCTTGAAATTTTGACATTAGACATTTCAGCTCAAGCGCCAATTTTCATCAATATGGTCTCTTAACAAAATGTTAATATTTAGAGCACTTGTCATAGGCTCGTAACGTAATGCTAATTAGATTTTGCACCCGGATAGAGGCTCGTTCGCTACCGCAGCGGATTGGATGGGAGCGCTGGCCAATCACGTTGCGCCGGGCCCAACTAAACTCCGCCCACTGGCCGTGACCGCGCTGAGTCTACGCCGGCTCAGTCGGCGGCAGCACCGCGGAGAGGTCGCACGGGGCCGCGCACTGGGAACATATACATCAACATGGAATCGACAGGAAGTGTCTGAGCGAAAGCCTGCTCTTCATCTGGGGGAGTTGGTAACCGCTTCTCTGTTTTTGATATATCAACACCGATCCAGCTCAGAATATGAAGAATACCTAATCATAATGAGGATGTTAACCTCCCCAGAGCCATCCTTAAATAGAGAGCTGAGATGTGCACTATCTGAATATCTGAATGAATGTACAGGTATCGCGGCTTTTAGCGGTAGGTTTTGCACCTATAAAATTTAGTGTAGGTACTTCAGGCTATAGCTTCGTCGTCTTAGGCTTTTAAGTGTTGAAGATGCGATCGACTTGTTGGGTCAGGGTAACAAGCCGGCCATGATCGTGTAAAATGGCTTCATCGTAGATCGTATAGTTTCTGAGATATAACCGGAAATGTAAAAGTGCAAAGCCTACCGCTTAATTTCGCGAGACCTGTACATTCTGGCGCTTATCTCATGGTCAGGTCGTGCCACTATTCTGTCACCTATGACAATATGCGAAGCCTCTGCACTACTCGAAAATATCGATATTGGTTGGCTGTGTCAATCGCTGTTTCTGAAGACGCTGTTATACCTATGCAGACAACAACAGAGTAGGATGATGAGTCGCGAGCACTTCCGATTGCCTAAGACATCGCTGCACGAGCTGTGTTCGTAATTCGGGAAGCGTTGGGAAAGGAGCAGAAATGTGATGTGCGATTTATTGCGCATGGTAGAAATGTGACATCAGAATAAGGGAAACAAGCGCAAACGCTAGTAGAGAAATCGCGTCTTTTTGTGAAACTAAAGTAACTTTTCAAGCTCTCCAATAGTGAGGCATATAGGTTACTTACTTACAGGTATTTTAATTATTTGCAGTTCAACACCACGAAAGCTTGGGGAAGTCAGTCCGGTGACCTCAATCTAGCCAATTATAAAATGGGTTAGTTCCGAAGGTGAACACCTTCGTTGTTCACCTTGCATGAACAAAACAACAAAACAACGAAGGTTCATGCATGTTGCACCGCAATCGCATGAATCCATCTCAAGCATACGCATAAGCATAATATATTTCACATGGCAACCACACTTCTTAAATGCTACGGTGTAACTGTTTATCATGTCTTGCAAATTTGACGTAGGCTTACCGACGTCTTACATCAGTTCACTGTCAATTGACATCAACGGCTTTTTAATGACGTTCAACCAAGCAAAAATGCAGTCACTAGCGTCTAGCCCTGAACTTAATATTAAAGTAGGTATATCTTTATTGATTGACATGGTGTAGCTGTAGGCCAATTTCCGATAAATGCAATAATGAAGGCTAGTGCGCTAATTATGAGCGCTAGTTTCTGCTGTATCGTTAGTACTGCAACGGTAACCGCAAGGCAGCGACGTCCAATGCGAGCCGCCCCGGTCCGGCATACGGCCTTGGGTCCGGCAGCTACTGCCCCGTGTCGGCTCCACGCATCCGACTGACCGGCCAAGGTCACGCTCCGTCCGCCGGGAGGGCGGAGCTTAATGGTCACGTGCCTGTGACGTCACGCCTACGTAAGGATAGCCTCTACTCCACTGACGAATTTACGGAGCTGATTTTAACATTACGAGGCAACGACAAGTACCCTAACAATTGATATTTTGTTAAGAGACCATATTAGCGAAAATTGGCGCTTGAGCTGAAATGTGCTTTGCGAAAATTTGAAGCCAATTGGATAAATATTAAATAAATTATCGCCGAAAAACAAGGTCTCATGGGGTCTGAAATGCATAGTAGGTATGCTATGACCTTAAGAATAAAAATGAGAAAAAACTTACTATAACAAAAAAAGAAAAGCCTAATGCATATGCGAAAAAATGCTCGCATTTTCTTTTTAGCTTAGATTAAACTAGTAAAAAAGCAGAGCTCGGCGAGGGACGTACCAGTCACTTCTGCTTCTAAGACCTGTCATTTGTGCCCGGGGGACCCCTGAGTAGCCGGTGGGCCGGATAGTCAGACGCGGTCGACCGGAGCCGCCCCCGGGGGCACCCTCCAGTCGGGAGCACTTCCCGGATGACGCCGCCGCCGCCGCCGGCCGGGTGGCGCCGTCTCCTCGGCGGCGGCGGCGGCGGCGGCGGCGGGTCGGAGGCGGGCAGGACGGCCGTCAGTCCCGCTCCTGAGGCCGGACAGGAGGTGTCGCTCCGGCTCACTGCGGACATTGTCCCACGTGCCGCGGTGCGATCAGACCGCTGCCGAAGGAGTCACGCTGCCGAGATACGACCGAGCTATACCGTGAGAGCAGTGACCGACCGCTGCGACCACTCCAGATATGCAACCACGCAGGTGAGGCTCCCAACGGCTCACTGGATTAGAAGTCTACAAGTGAAAGGAAACTGAACTGAGCTCGTAGATATGATGGCTAGTCTCAATGAATTTCAATGTGTCGGAAAAAATTATGATTAAGAATTTGAAGCTTCAAGTAGCCTTTAAATGCCGCATTATTCGATCCGCTCAAATTAACAACTTTTGTTGCAATTTGGCACCTCGAACGGGATATCATCGCATCCGTATCTGCATCCATATCTAGAAGTTACATTTTTTTAAAGTAAGCGATACATGATGCATGATTTGCCGGTCCCGTAGCTCAGTTGGTAGAGCGTTGGACTCCGCGTGGTGAGAGCACGCGTTCCCGGTTACAACAGTCCGGGTTCGAAGCGTGACGGGCGCTTGACATTTACGGGTCTCCTGACAGGTATGGCTGCGGTTGGTGGCAGGCCGTAGCCAGGCGAAGTCAGTGGGGGGACCGGCCGTGCGCGGCTATGTGCGCACGTTAAACTCTGGACTCTAAATTCTGCCATAGAACTGGGATTGCGCGATCGGAGGGTAGGGAGCAGGGTCACCGCAACAAGCTTCGCTTAGCGGTGGCTCTGTCCTTGTGAATCCTTCCCATCATAAGGTTGGGACTAAATTTACAAAAAAAAAAGATTTGGGGAGAGCTTTTAGTTTTTTCGCTATCTAGCTGCTTCTTTATTTTTTACTCCTCATAATTTAACCTATACTTAATTAATACCGACAGCATTGCTAAGATGCCATCTTTTATGTGGCATTTTCATCTTCCATAGGTATATTAATGCTTCCCTTTTAATAGATACGATAACTACCAATAAAACGTCTAAACAAAACATTCGAATAAAAATAAAATAACCATGTCTCGCTCTGTCTTGATATGTCAATTGTTTACGTGCACAACATGCCAAACAAAAATATTTTCAAGTCACGGGCTAGCCCTTCCAATCCCCACTTTCCCTTAAATAGGGACCTATATACTGCGCTTACCGATTGGTGTGCTTACATTCGTTCACTCACATGCCGCATTGTTTTAAAAACATTATATTTTAATGTATGCTGTGAAAATTTCAATAGTGTGACTTAGATATATACCAGTACTTAAATACTTAGATAATGAGCTATACGATCAAAAGATCGACTATTAAATTCATAATTGGCCATGCCAGATTCCATGAATATAATAAGATAATAAGAAAGCAAAATGTGCAATGCTTATTATAAACTTGGCTACAAATTTGAGCTTTTAATCGAAGGCTAAGCCTAATTCAACATACCCTGGGCTAAGCTAGCTGGGTACCTAAATAAAGAAGTGAATAGTTAACTTATGATTTACGCATACAACATCCTCGACTGATATGAAGTTCAGGCGCGGATACAAGGGGGGGGGGGCCATGGGGGCCATGGCCCCCCCTTGGCCGATTTTTTTCAAAAATAAAATAAAAAGTTAAAAAGTTAAAAAGCTGAAAAGGGGGCCTCCTGAAAATAAAGTGGCCGAAATCCGATGAGTTTTTTTTTTTTAACCTACCCACTTAGTTATTTCTTAGAAGACTAGCTGAGAAGACTTCTTTGTTAGAAGATTGGTAAAGCTTTTCATAACTTGGAGGTCTCTTATACTCACAGAGATGACCACTTTTACAGGGCCTCCTAACCTGCACAGAGGGCCTCCAAGCCTGCACAGATGTTGAGATGTTGCCTGAACAGCTAGATAAGCTCAATAGACGCAGTTTTTTTTTTGGGGGGGGGGCCCAACAAGTGGGAAGATGGGGCCTCCAACAGGTGGGATTATGGGGGGGGGCCTCCTGGTTTCTAATGGCCCCTCCCTTGGAGATTTTCTGGATCCGCCCCTGATGAAGTTCAAGGTCCTCCTTGAGCTTCATGGTTCTTAGAACTTCAGTTCTAGTTTGTAGTTAACTATACTTTATTTCTATCGCTGCGACCAAACACACCAACTCTCTGGGTCGTAAGCGTCCAACGAAATCGAGGCAATCGATGACAGAAATAGAGATTGAAGAGATGCATTAAATACCAATGCGCCATAATCTTCAAAACGATGCGTTTATGAAATAAAAGCAAGACAGAAAACTGCATGGAAACAGCGTTTGCTACTGCGGAGAGGCATTCAATCGTGCGCTGAATTCATTGCTGACGGGGTAGACGGATGATTACTGCACTTTATTTATTTATTTATTTATTTATTTATTTATTTATCCCTCGCCCGGACTGGGGTTTTGCCAGCGTCTTGCTTAGAGGGGGGCGGTCCATTGGTCCCCGATCGAGATAGAACTTCGCGAGAAAAAAAAAAAAACAAGCGTGCTGCCCGTGACGAGAGGAAGCCGTTGATATCCGTCGTCGCGATCCGCCGCCTTTTGCGTGGGTTATTTGCGAAAAACCAAGGGGTCCGTTCGACACCCTATACATAAGTGTGAGGGTTATATCGATGGCTCACTGCAGTCCACGACGCCACATGAACGTCTATACAAATATGCTTTGACGTGTGTCACATGATGCAGCGATTGTTGTCACTGTCAGGAATGAAAGCACTAATACCGTAAATGCGACTGGTGCAAACCGATTATTGACCACCGTTTTACAATCATCTTGGAATCATAAACGTAGCTTAAGTAGTCATAGCCATTGGCTGCATGCTGCCACCCGTTCGCTCAAATGGCTCGACTTTACGCCAGGAATGTCTGGCGCTTCATAAAACCAAACGAATTTAAGAAAGAAAGTTTAACAAATAACGACAAATTGCCTGAATTAAAGTAGCCCCACTCCATTGCTCCACTGCGATTTGGTGAAACAAACGCGGTAAAAAGGCACTGGTTAATCATCCCACTAATGACGCAAAGCTTCTTTCCGTTAAGGTATATTGCTGCTATTTATCAAGCCGTTCATCTTATCTACTACCGCATCAAACGACGGTGTGCAGAGCAACAGCCACGAATAGGTTCCAAAAGGGGATTGTGAGGCGGACTCCTTCAACCTACGATTCGAAGAAAACCAGAACATGTGCACGACAATTTGAAACAATGTGTAACAGCAATGTCCGTCTTATTAACAATTATTACTTAATTCATTCTAATCAAATACATGAAATTGAATCTTGGTTGGAACACAGTGTTCCGTTACATACCAAACGATATAACTACATATACCTACTGTAACAGGAAGCTGAGGCTTCACTGACTGGTGTTATTTCTGCGCGCAGGTTCTGTTGGGCCCGATGTGCGGTGGTGACACCGGGCCTGCTGCCGCTGCTGCCGGCGCTGCTGCTGGCCCTCAGCGCTCCCCGCTGCGGAGCCGACCCCGCCGGAGATCACACCATCATGGAGCACGTGGACATGCCGGCCATGACTCGAGTCCTGGAGGCGCGCGCCGCCGCCGCCGCCGCTGAGGATGACTCTGACTCCGCCGCCCCGCCGGCCGAGACGGACCCGGCGTTCGGCCCGGTGCCGGCGCCGTCCCCGTCCCAGCGAGCCGCTATGGCCAGCCTGCCACCGACGCTGCTGCAGTCGTCCCGCCGCGCGCGGCTCGTCACCAAAAAGAAGTACTTGAAGAAGGACTGGTGCAAAACGGAGCCTCTGATCCGCCGGCTGCGGGAGCCCGGCTGCCGCTCGCGCCGCGTCATCGACCGCTTCTGCTACGGCCAGTGCAACTCGTTCTACATCCCGCGCGAGAGCCGGCGCCGGCGCGCCTTCAAGTCGTGCCCGAGCTGCCTGCCGCGCCGCTGGGAGCGCGTCTCGGTGCTGTTCCACTGTCCCGGGCAGGTGCCGGCCCGGCGACGGCGCACCGTCAAACTGGTCAAGCAGTGCCGCTGCATGCCCCGCCGCCGCCGCTGAGCGGGGAGCGTGACCTGGGTGACCTTGGTGACCTGGGTGACCTGGGTGACCTGGGGTGACCTGGGGTGACCTGGGGTGACCTGAGGTCACCAGCCAGCTCGAGTCTCGCTGGGCCAAGGCGCCTACGACCCCGAATGGGTCGCGAGTCCTGGACCTGCAGCGAATTCAGACCGGTCCTGGGAGCCTGAGGTCTGCTTTCAGTCTGAAAGCTGCTGTTGCATCTCCTGGGCCTCCCGCGAGCTGCACCATCTGTGACCTGGCACTCAGAGTCTGCTTTGGGAAACCGTTTTGGGCAACCGCAGCTATGGACTAATCTGGGCATTATATTAGCCTTCTGGGCCTGTTTACAGTCGAGGAAGAAGAAGAGGTCCGGGGTGAGAACCTCTTTTGTCGAAACGAAGAAGGATAGGCATGTATTTTTCGAGCATTTGGTGCGAAATGCACGTGGTGAACAAAATGAATGTCGGAGCGTGCTACGCCTGTAACGGTTGGTGATTTCGCCACGAAGAGGATCCTGTTCTTTATCTTAATCGGTTTCGTTCCATTAGGTTCCATGCATTCTTTTGAACATTCTTTTGAACAGCATTGAACAGTGCTATCTTTTATTATGTTTTCGCTAATTGATTTGTTATCGATTCTTACATTCCATGCGGAGTTTTTATCGAACAGGCAAAACAACAATTGTGTTGTGCAATCCATCAACGACGCTCGCGACTGCTCGTGTGTTATCGTTGAGAGTGTTTATTCTTCATGTTGTGATGCGTGTTGACACACCCGAAATTTCCGTTTACTGTTAAACAGTCTAGACTTATCAAGCAGTTTCAGTTTTAGATTTCGATTGACGAAGCAAGGTATGTTGACGATTTATTTGAGTGTTTTGTTTAAGTGAGTGGTATCTCAGATTCATACCTGTGAAAATGCGTTGGAGTTTTGTTCAGCATTCATGCATAGGCCGCTCTCGTGTAAATATCTGATTGCTGGGTTGTGATAGTGTGATAACGGTGCGTGTCACACTGGAAGCTAGTCATCGCAAGTAGAAGTGCTGGCGCACGCCTGTACATAAATGTGCCCAGCATAATATCGTGTTATTTTTGCGGCAACTTTTCGAAGATCCCGATGTTAATTTGTTAGAATGCGATAGGCAGCATAATGCATTTGTGTATATCGGCACATAGCGAATATGTACTACGCTTCACTTGCGCGTTGATCTGTGACGTTGAACGTCAGCTTTTAGCCGTTAGGTTAGTTTTAGCCGGCGGTAGACATGTGTTGAGTAGCCATCGCTCTGTCGCGTGAGATGATAGCTATCACTCGCCTCGCTCGGAACTGGCGCTTGGCGCTTCGTGTTGGCGCCTGGCGCCCGTTGCTGGCGCTTTGCGCTGGTTGCTGGCGACTGGAGCTCGTGCTGGCGCCTGGTGCTTGTTACTGGCGCCTGGCGCTCGGCGCTGGCGCCTGGCGCAGACGCCCCGGAGCCGTCCATGTTCTCAGTTTGTCGCCGCTGTGTGCAGGCGCTGTGCGGTGTGCAATAGGGCGCACGCCGGTCGCAGCTGTACCCTGCAATAAATGGCTGCTAGCTACCGGCTGTTTTTTCGTCTGTGCTTTTGGTTTGCTGGTGTAAAACAAGAAAAAAAACAAGCACGTCCATTTAAGTAAATCCTAGACTGCTTCATTTCACCCAAGACTCCTTTGCAGCCCGCAGAGCCACTCCTAGTCCTGACACAAGCATCGCGGATAGCATAAGCTGAACCGAGTTTTGTGCTTTTTGATATTCATTAGGTAGGTATTATAAATATCTGCGTTGTATAAATCCTATACCTACGTATAGAAACATATACCTATCTATAGCCCAAGCCCCAAGTCAAGTAATGTACTGCTATAAACTTTGAGGTCCAGTCCAGTCGCAATAACGAGATAAGCCATCTGAGCGTGAGAGCACAGCCATAGCGATAATAGCGCCGAGCGCGGCGGCGCCGTCCCACCGAGCCTGAAGGTAGACTGTACCGGCGAACACGCGGTCCGGCGGCACAGCCTACCAATCCCCTGTCCAGTCGGAACGGCGCAGCAAGCCAATATACGGTGCCTTGGACTGTCGGCAAGTCGAGAGCAGCAGATCATTTACTATGATAATAATTATGTACAGTGTGCACATGACGATATGCATGTCTCATTGTATACCGAGACCTTTTTTCGTTGGTAGACCAGCTATCTATCAGGCTATGGCACATATAATAAGAACGCGGTTACGAATATCAAAACGTAAAACATACAGGTTAGACATACAGTAGGTAGATACAATAAACATTAATAATTATGCATATCTAAGTATACATAATAGCATATCGCTCTATATTAGGTATAGGGCAACTGCATGGGCAAGGTGCCGTATAATTGATTTCGCCGAATAACATTTGTAAAACAGCACATGGAACGGCGAGTTTTTACTCAGCGTCATGTCATTCTTTGCCCCTTTGAAGCCATTTACGCAAATGTGTTTTGAAGGTAGGTACTTGCTATCCCTTTAAATGTGACGCCCGTGAAAATAAAATAAAAATGAATGAACAAATGAATTCCAATTCATAATAAAGCTCGTTCGACTGGGCAGAACTTCCCAAGACCGTTTCTCACTTACGTGAGGTGGGCGTCGAGTTAACTATTCCCATTTGTTTGATCTGGAAGATCAGCTTGAACATTTGAAACAAGGTCAAGTTGACCTTACCTGACCGCTAAAGGTCACGTTTGATTTCAGTCGATTCGTAATTCGTATCGTTATGCTGAACACATCCGAATTCCGAAATGTTCCCAGCGCTCTAGCATATCTCAATCAAAAGTTATCTTTGAAAAGGTGCTGTTGACCTGCAATGACCCAAGATGACCTTGGGGAGATAGAGTGAGGTCACAAGTGCAATTTGATTTTCAAATCGGTATTCAGCGTTTATCTGTCATACGATATGAAGAGAGTTTCACAATATGACTTTGGTAACAAGGAAGCAGTTTAATTTTAAGTCTCATTGACTTGCAACACATGTTTAAATTGATATTGCGAATATTTCGTTCAGTCGGTGTAGCTATGGTGTGCGTTTAAATTCCGTTGATGTCTAGTCACTTGACGTGACTTCGTGACTTGATGATAACTTGGGTCTGAAATTTTACTCCATGTGTCGAAAAATAAAGTGCCTACCTAACAGTTAGGTATACTTTTATCGTTATGCAGAAGCCTGATGGGTCGTAAAAACGTTTCCCCTCTCCACCTCGATGCAAGTCGAAAATTGAAGGGAGAAATAGTGGGAACGGAAGAAAACAGGTATTTTAAAAGGCCCCTAATAGGCGCCACAGGCAATTCCTATGACTACATTTGTTTTCTAAATCCATACATGAAAATCTGTTACGCATTATTAGGGGAAGGAGGGTGAATTGCGCCACCTTAAGGAAAAACGCTAATTGTAAGAAAACCGCTGGAGATATAAGCATGCACTGGTAACCACTTCAAAGAGGAACTCATTAGCTACGATTTAAGAGCCTCCCGATCAATTAAGAATGTTTCGTTTGCTTCCGACAGCTGCTTTTCAGAAACATGCAAAAGGGCGCATTTACCGACAACTGCTGTAAATTGCGCCAGGGGGATGGCGCAATTAGAATCAAATTGCGCCCTATACTTAAACATGGCTAAGCGAATGAGACGGAATGCATACACCCCGGCAGTGTAATGTCATTGCGGCTTACTTAAACATTTATAATGTTAATCAGGCTGGATAAATAATAAATGTAGATATAAATAGCGATGTTTTTTGCCCAGGTAAATAACTTTACATGTGTCCGTATGTTTGTAAAAGTGCAACGAAAACGTTTTATGTAACCGACTAGATCTATGTGAATGTATGGTTAAATTTTCAATCGTTTCTCTCAAAATTATTAATTTTTATCGTTTCGACAACTTGTTGACATCAGTTTTTACTTTTTGATCATAGCTGTGACCTCTCACGCCCGAGTCCATGTTGTAAATGCCGTATTTTGTCAATTACACCACAAGTTGGCAGCCTAAATGGCAGCTGCATTATAAGTTTGACGAGAGAAATAATTTGCGGACTGGCGACAGCGGGCTGCTCCCCTGCCTGGCATTAGACTCCTTCTTTATTGCAATCAGTTAATGGTGCATTCATACTGTCGTGATACAATAGCTACACCATTATTCTATTTGCGCCCCCATGGCGCAATTGCCATGGGCGCAATTAGAATTGAGGTACTTTTTAATAAAAGCGTAGAAGTTATCATAAATATGCTGAAGGAAGTTTACTGTTTAAGTGAAATATAATGAAAAAATGTGCTTTCTTTCTAAATATCACTCTGAAAATCACACACATATCACAGATTTTTATAGCCAACGGTTCAAAATACTGCAAAAAAGCTAAGAAAACGCCGTAATATCTTTGATGGCGTAACTGAGCCCTGCTGATTGGCTTCGTCGGAGAGCTTGGGCCATAAAATGAACTATCAGGTGGTGAAAATATTGTTCTCGAACACAAAATTATAAACATGCCATTGAATTCGTGGGAATGTTGGTGGGCGCAATTGGTTAGGAGGGCGCAATACACCCACTTTCCCCTAAAGGTACGGAGATGTGATCCTAAATTAATTAAATAATCAATGAAGGACTTTTATTGACTTAAATAAACTTGTGAGTTGACATTACTAGGGTTGAACTTTTACCATTTCCACATACGTATGTGATTAAATTGAGGCGTATATCATAGGACTCGGACCAATGGCCATTAGGGGCAAAGGCAGCGACTTTCAGGGAGTATCGCTGGCAAAGTGCGATGGCCTTCCATTGCTCTTTATGTTATCTGCTCTGGGCCGTCGGCCGTTCTCCGTGTCGATTGTCGGCCGGACCCGGACGGAGCGGCCGCCGAGGAGGCGCCGTCGCGACGGCACACGACCTTGACTATCGATTAGGCTGGACAATTGGTTATCACCGGGCGCTGCTCCCTAATACTGGCCGTATCGGACGGGCTCCGACCGTCCCGAGGAGCGCAGGCGACCGGCGGGTCCATGTCGCCGCGGCGGAGCGCAGTTCCGGCCTCACCGTGGGCTGCTGCTCGGAGGGCGCCACTTCAGAGAGCGGCGGCAGCGGATCCGGGCCGCCCAGCCCCACTGCAGAGCAGCTCGTAAACCGTACACTGTCCTGTCGCCACGCCATTGGCACCGGGACGGGCGCCCCCGGTTCCCCCGGGCGCCCCCCGGTTCCCCGGCGCCGACGACTGTCGAACCGTCTCGCTCTCGGCCGTGTTGCATCAGCCGCGCTACGGCAGACTATGGACGCAGGAGTCTGTCGCCGTGCTGGGAAATTCTTAAATGCATTTAAGAATTTCCCAGCACGGCGACAGACTCCTCCGTTCATAGTCTGCCGTAGCGCGGTCTGCCGTATCTTGTCTTTAACCACCACCATGGTGGTGGTTAAAGACAAGACGCCGCTATCTGTTTTTTTTTTTCAAGGAGAAGCGCGACTCAAATTTGAACTTACCGAGCTTGGTGCATAGCATATGCAAATTGCAATGTACATATGTAAGTACGATCCGTACGATCCATGCCGACGGGGGTATAAAGGGCCTTGCCGACGGGTGTCTCGACTCTCGGTCATTCTCACTAAAGGTCAAAGGAGTTCACTGAACCCGGATGACCTCAGTTCTTGGATGACCTTTGCACAATTTGTCGTTTGCCTGCTAGTTTGGAATGGGTTTCCTTGTTCTATCAGAAATCCTTGTTCTCTGAGTAAGTTTATAACAAACCGGAAGACTTTGATGCCGACGAATCAGCATTAAAACGTTGCATGCTCTGAGGCGTCAAAATCCACGGACATGGTCGAACATGAAAACTTTGACTCAACGTCGTTATTTCACGGAAGTGATCTTTAGTTTTTCAGCCGCATGGGCATATCAATTGATCAGTCAGATGATAACCAAAAGTCAAATAGTGACCTGACCTCAAGTCGAGTAAAGTAGGTACATTAAAATGCTTTCTAGCATACCTATCCTCCGTCTTCGAACGCCGACAGTCGCTTCACCGCTTGTCACTACGTAACACGATAACAGAGTTCGAGGGAGGTGACCCCTCCGGCCTCCAACGTTCGGTGTTGTGTGGTGCAATTTGCTCTAGTCCATATAGCTTCTAGCTATAAAAAAACGTTTAAAGTTATCATAGAAAAACGTTATCAACAAATTCGTCGTTTTGAATATCATTGTGACCTATGCAGCAGCCTAGGTAGAACAGTCGACTTGAGATCAACTCTGACATGTTACGAAAAAAAGTTTGACAACCACTCTGTTTTCCTCGTCCTTTGCTCTTTTAAGTTCACGAGCTTATCAAATGTTGGCGTGTCGTGGAGAAATTACAAAAACTGACATTTGATGAGTCGATGAGCTTCAGACTTCAACACTGACTTAGGGGAAAATGACCTTACTGAATAAAGCATTTTCAAATGGTTGAGACTTTGAGAGCTATCAATCGTTTTTTCGCTTCTTTCCATCTTTTTTTTTTGTTTTTTTTTTTAGATAATCGAGTGCTGACCTTATGCGCCGTGCACTTGGCTGCTCGCAAGTATCACATCCGAGATAAATCCCATCAAATTTGTGAAGTTGTCTGAGCAGTCTCGTCTAGGGATAATGCATCTGTCCCGTATGCGCGATTTCAACAGCACATCCAAGTTCCATTAAACACGTCAGCCGAGATTGTCTTTTGTGAGCTGCAGTGACAGTTCACTGGTAAAATGACGACGCTCTGCGTCCGGCGCAAGCCTTCAAGAAGTTCGCTGAACCGGTCCCGGAAATATGTCCGCCAGAGATGTTTTCTGAATCTGTGTCTGAAGAGTTGGACCATTCATTCGAGGCGGCCCAAGTAGCCAGCATCCGGCGGGACGTGTCCGGGTACGGCCTCCGACAGAGCGCGCCCGGCCCGGCCGCCCGCGAGCCTCGGACGGGCGCCGGACCTGCCTGTGTGGCTGCCGGCTGGGAGGGTGTCTGCCCCCTCCCTGTGTGGCTGCCGGCTGGGAGGGTGTCTGCCCCCTCCCTGTGTGGCTGGGAAGGTGTCTGCCCCCTCCCTGTGTGGCTACCGGCTGAGAGGGTGTCTGCCCCCTCCCTGTGTGGCTGGGAAGGGTGTATGCCCTCCACGTGTAGCTAAGGAGGGTGTCTGGCGTCTGCCCTCCCTGTGTGGCTGGGAAGGGTGTCTGCCCCCTCCCTGTGTGGCTGGGAAGGGTGTCTGCCCCCTCCCCGTGTGGCTGGGAAGGGTGTCGGCCCCCTCCCTGTGTGGCTGGGAAGGGTGTAGCCCTCCATGTGTGGCTGCCGGCTGGGAGGGTGTCTGCCCTCCTTGTGTGGCTGGGAAGGGTGTATGCCCCTCCTGTGTGGCTGCCGGCTGGGAAGGGTGTCTGCCCCCTCCCTGTGTGGCTGGGAAGGGTGTATGCCCTCCACGTGTAGCTGAGGAGGGTGTCTGGCGGGCGTCTGCCCTCCATGTGTAGCGGAGGAAGGTGTCTGCCCCCTCCCTGTGTAGCTGGTGAGGGTGTCAGCTCCCTCCCTGTGTGGCTGGGAAGGGTGTAGCCCTCCCTGTGTAGCTGCCGGCTGGGAGAGTGTCTGCCCCCTCCCTGTGTGGCTGGGAAGGGTGTATGCCCTTCCACGTGTAGTGGAGGAAGGTGTCTGCCCCCTCCCTGTGTGGCTGGGAGGGTGTCTGCCCCCTCCTGTGTGGCTGGGAAGGGTGTACTGTATACCCTCCATGTGTAGCGTAGGAAGGTGTCTGCCCTACACGCGTAGCGGAGGAAGGTGTCTGCCCTCCCTGTGTGGCTGGGGAGCGTGCTCGGTCTGCCAGTACAGCTGGGGAGCACGGCTGAAAGAATGCGCACCGCGCGCTACTCGTATGTAGCGATTGGATATCAGACAACCGGCGGCATTTCACATAATGTATGCGTGCTGTGTATGAATTCCTACGCGTTATGCAATATACATTACATACAATAACGACCCATAACGACGACCCTATGCAATTAAGGCTTTGAAGAGCTGAATCCCCATTCAAAATGTTTTATATGCCACAAACGACACAAACTATCCTTTCCTTTCGGGCAATATCCGAATAAAATCTTCCACCTAGACAGTTTTAAATAGATTGATTCATATTTCTCAATGCCTAAATTCTCAACTTAGTCAGTTGCCGAAAAAGCTCTGTTTATTGTGATGTGTCATCAACCACACATTTACTTTTAACAGGTCACATTTGTACATACATTTGACAGCTGATGAAAGGGCATCAGTGCCAATGACTCAATTACAATCATTACAGAAGGAACTTCAGATGCATTTCTGACTTGAGGCAAGTCATATTTTCAATTTTAGTGACATGGGCATGGAACAATGTGCCCATGTAGTTCCAGAATCAGTAATGGTTCCTTGTTGGTAAGCTAATGAAAACTACAATTCAAAACAGAATTGGGTATGACTCCTCATTTAGCAGGCAACACCACTGTGTGATGCATGTCATCAGTTCTAGCAAAATTGTACACTCTGAAGTACCTTATAGGAGACCAGCAAATTCAGAACATCAAATCTCCAGCCTCTGGAAATTAGGCCAGCCAAATGAACCAATAATGCTCAAGAGATTCAGATGACAGCTGCAGCCTTCTCATCATCACAAGACTCTGAAGAATCAGACAAATCGCTATCATCTGGAAGATCAGGGTCAATCCACAAGTTCTTCTTTCTCTTAGGAGCAGGCTTTGTTTCAGACTTGCTCTTTTTCTTACCACACCCCTCCTCTTCCTCAGATTCATCTGCAGACCTTTTCAAATTTGTGTCATCACAATCTTTTGAAGATGTTGAGGTTCCTGCTTCCACTGCTTCAAATAAGTTGTCTTGCTGTTTTTCCTTTTGATCCATGTATTCCTTATCCGTGAATACATGTTTTGGCTTTCTTCTCAGTTTCTCTAGCTTTGCCCGCTTAGCATCTTCTGCTTCCTTTTGTCGGTCAGCCTGCTTCTCTATCCAGTTTTTGAGCCTTTGCTCCTCATTTATATCTCTTAGCCGTCGTCCACTCAAATCTCGGCACGCCTCCCTATTGGTTGTTTTTTCAATCTGAGCACCAATTGCTCGAAGCATTGAACCAAAACCACCTTTGCCACCTCTCAGACGGGGGACCAATTGCACCAAATCTCCTGGCTGGACATCCTCAGGCTCAATTTTCCTGCCGTTTTTCACCAAATATGCATCAGCTTTCAATAGTATGTCTTCCAAGTCATTTGGACGCATGTTGGTGGCCCGAGTTTTGAACGATGGATTGGCCATAATTTCTTGAAATGCACAAACCCAACAGTTTTACACCACAATCTGTATCTAACCGTTCTCATCAACTATCTCACAATCTCCTTTCTCCCCAACACGATCAAAACAATGAAAATAATCTACGCAGTTTGTTTCTAAAGTTTCGCCCTGGGGCCTTGGATTTCGCCAAGTATGACGCTCCTGCGTCAGTATTGCGCAAAAAGGAATTCCTAAAAAGCTGCCACTAAGACTATGTAAACTGTGAACCCATGCCAATAAGGCGACAAAAAACCACTGCTTCGGTAATTCGGGAAATTTGGGAAGGCTTTAGAATGATTGCAATCATGAAGTATTTTGGAAATGAGATAAATATTCAAGAGAATCTCGATAATGATGAAAAGTCGATGCTTGATGAAAGCGTTGATGAAAATATATTTTTCAATCTTTTTATCGCCGGATCACAACAGTTTTATCTTCAACTGTTTCAAACACTTCTATACTTCAAATACCATTTGAATCTGTGAGAAGAAAATTAAATATAATCGATCAATTAGTTGATTCATCATGACGATACGCTTGGCAGTATATTACTGAAGATTTTTCGTTTTCCTCTTTTTATTTTTGTGCCTGCTACATATGTGGCGCATAAATTTACAGAAGAGTAGAAGTATAGCCTTTGATCACGTGGTACAAAAAGGTCTCTTTAGAAAAAGACTTTTAGATCAATTAAATACCTATCAATTTAAGCTCAATATTTTTGAGTATATTTGATAAATGCTTTCAAAGATTTCGTAGAGAATAATATCAAAAATGAATAGTAAAAACGTAATATTTTTCATTCACATATGTTCAGTCTCAGCGCGGAAATGCCCGAGGCTAGCGCTCGTTGACGGGAGTTCACCGACCTAGGCTTTCCCGGCTTTCCTATTTCTTCAATTTGCCTTTTCTCGCCTCCCCGAGATTCTCGTACTCCTCGGCAGCCGTCTATCTCGCTTAGGTAAGATAAATTTACATTTAAAAAAGATAAATATTGACTTTATTTTTACATTTAGGTTGACAGCTCTTGAAGTTCAGATTTTAACTGCTACATCAACATGACTTGTATTTTCCTCTTGAAAGTTGAACCTAGCTGGCCCAGACTGGAAAACATCCATACACTACGCCGGATCAGGATGCCCGTGAGACCCAATTGCGCCAAAAATTCGGCGCAAGCATTTTTGCGCTGAAATTTCTGCGTGAATTGTGCCAAAAATTAGGTGCCTATTTGTGCGAAAAATAAAGCCCTTTTTATGTTAAGTACATGAGCACATCTACTGATCAAGGCTATATCAACCAGAGTGTTCCGGGGCCTTGTATGCTCCCCAATGTTTGAGCGTCCGAATGAGTTTTTCATTTCCCCGGAAACCCAATACCTACCTCAATACTCTTGCGCACTCTAGCTTCATGCAGTGAAACATAGCCGGAGCCGTACCTAAGTTCCAGGGCCACAAATATCGGCGGAGCGGTGTGTTCGAGGGTGGTGGGAGCCAGCGAGGGCCAGGCAGCGGAGTACCTATCACATGCTCCGGCTGCCGGCACATCAGCGTCTTCTCGGCACACGGCACAGAGCGCCGCAGGGCACTGCTAGCACGCCCCGGAGTGGAGACAGCCGATTCGGTGCACGTACTGGAGCGAGCGGCTCCAGTGGCCCGCCCTCAGCTGGTGCACCTGCACTGTGCACCTCTCGGTCCTCTCCGGGGATCAAGGGAGCGGCAGTGTGCTCCCGAGGAGTGGCTTGAATAGTGAATCTGAGCAGTTGTCGCGCCATTGATGCGAGGCCGCACAATGAACCGCCCTGGTCAGCGAGCGGGCGTTTGAGGGCAGGGCGACCGACTGTTTTGCCAGGTCGTCCGCACTCTCATTTCCCTCGATACCGCAGCGGGCAGGAACCCATTGCAGTATTGCTTAACGACGCTTGGCGATTTTCAACAAGGTCTTCTCTTCCATACTTATCTCCACACCGACGGTCGAGGCCTCACCTGGGCGGCCGCTCCTCCGCTGAGTAGACTCAGGCGGCTCGCCAGCTCGAGAATGCGACGACCAAAGCGGGGACGTCTCGTCCCGAAACCCCTCCAGAGCCACCCGCGGGTTGAAACTGCTGCTAGATAGACCAGCGTACCGCATAAATTCGGTGACCGCCTTTCGTCAAAAAATAATGCGACCGCCCTGCGCCGAAAAATTTGTCCGCCGCCATGCGCTGAATTCAGCGCATGCGAATTTACGCCGGACGTGCGCTGAATTTTTTGGCGCAATCCCGCCACTACGAGGGACATATTCGGCATAGCGTGTATTTTTTCCAGTCTGGTAGCTGGCCTCTGGTTGGACTGGTAATATGCTTTAGTCTCAATCTGTTATCCAATGTGTCCATCCCTCTGTCTGCAGGCCCCCCACCAGCCACCATGAGTCAGCTGGCGCGTCCGCTGCGGCAGGCCCTGGCCTCGGTCCGTCTGGGCCGCCAGATCAACACGGCAGCAGCCCTCCAGAGCAACGACCCCATCCAGAAACTGTTTGTTGACAAACTGCGCCAGTACGGAGAGAAGAGCAAGTGAGTGGCTCGCGTGGGATGCTGCGTTATCGATCTGCTTCTGGCGGGAGGTGGGACACCCTGCTTTTGTTGGAGAGATATCTTTTTGGTCAGGAATATGCTAACATTGCCAGAAGCCGTGGCTCAAAATATTTATTAATCATGCTTGTTGGCATTTTGGGCATGCATTTCCTGTATATTGATTTTTAAGTTTTAGCGTGCCCGTCCCCGAGAGCAGACAACAATTGAGTGAACCGATAAATGGCATGTAACTATGTACCTGCTGTCTAATCTAATGATCCCGCGTCCTTGCGCGGTAATGACTCCGACTGACGCATCCCCTCCTCTGGCAGGTCGGCCAAGGACGGTCTGGTCGACCCGACGCCCCAGCTGCAGGCCGAGATGAAGAACGAGCTGGAGAGGATAGCGCGCGTCTACGGCATCAAGGCCGGCGACGACGTGACCAAGTTTCCCCAGTTCAACTTTCCCGAGCCGACCATCGACCCCATCAGCGCCAAGCAGTAGCCGCTGCCGGCCGGAGCTCCGCGCGTGATTTGTAGCTGTGTACTGAATATATAACTCGGTGGTGATCGGATCAGTGTCTGAAAGAGGCTGACGTTAGGCGGCCGGGAATGAACGGCGGGTCATGACATTAACTCTTCGCTAATAAAGGCATCTGATGAATCGAATACATTGAATCGGAAACGTTGAGATGATCCACTGGGTTGATTGCGACCACCGCCAACAGTCAGAAGTACGAATTACGTGCTGGTTGATGATCGGCGAGACTCGCAGGTTTCTGAATCCAGAGGTGGCGCCGGGTGCGTCAACCACGTCTTGAGAGCTATTGTGGGCTGCTGACCGTTTGGGGGTAGTGACTTGCATTAGCTGCTAGCGCTGCCCGATTTCGTTAGCAGTCTTCTTACACGCCAGTCGAGCGAATCTATTACAGACGCACCTCCTTTTTAAAAACAGCGTTGTATTTCAGTGTTGCCCTTCATTGGCAAATGGGGCACAATACTTCGATATTTAAGTACGGACTTCACTCAAACATGTGTAACAAAACGCCCCTGGTACCCACACCCGCGCCCTGGTCTCTGCCGCCTGCACTCGGGTCCTACCATCGGACCACGTCACAGTACTGCATCAGATAACATGACAACAAACCGGTGAGCTCATGTGTGGCACGCCAAGGCAACAGCAAACTCACAGCAGCTCTAACATAACTCCTGGTACGGACGATAATAACACCAAAATAATGACAATAATAAAACCGGCGCACTCTTCTGTCCACTGACTCCCCACACCGGTCGAGACCACCTTCCACTCAGGAATGGCTGCACTGCGTCCGTCCAACACGCAGCACACGCGCCGTAACGGGGCCCTGTAAAAACACGAGCGGACGCAGTCTGCCGGACGGGCAGCGCGGCCGCCCAGCGGCAGCAGCGGCGCGCGCCGGACGCTATCACAGTCTGTGCATGACAAAGTAGCTGGGAGAGGTGTGCGCGCCGGCGCCGCGGGGCCGGGGTCACACCTCCACCGCTCGCTCCGGCTCGGTGATGGAGGAGAGCGAGGCGGCCGGGTCAGCCGGCTGACAGCCCACCTCGGCCACCGGTACGTAGTTGCCCTCCATCTCCAGCAGGAGGATGGTACGGTCCACGTGTGACCTGTCGGCACAGGCAGGGGCGGGTCAGGCTAGCAAGAAACAACAGCGTCGCATGAAATGGGCCAAATTCGACAAATCACAGGTTCCCCATAAGCTAGCGTTTCTAACAAGGTAGATGTCACATTTTTGTCATATGCTAGCTGAATATGCCAATGTAACGAGTATCATCTGTATCTCCGTCCGTACCAGTACCGCCTGTTTGGGCGGGACGGACACCAGTAGTTAGTGTACCAGCTGCACCGCAGTACCCAGTACAGTACCAGTACCCAGTACTTACCTGTACCGCCTGTCGGGATGGGACGGACACCAGTAGTGTATGCACCAGTACCCCAGTACCCAGTATAGTACTGTACTCACCTGTACCGCCGGTCGGGGTGGGACGGACACCAGTAGTGTATGTACCGGTACCCCAGTACAGTACTGTACTCACCTGTACCGCCTGTCGGGGTGGGACGGACACCAGTAGTGTATGCACCAGTACCCCAGTACCCAGTACAGTACTGTACTCACCTGTACCGCCGGTCGGGGTGGGACGGACACCAGTAGTGTATGTACCGGTACCCCAGTACAGTACTGTACTCACCTGTACCGCCTGTCGGGGTGGGACGGACACCAGTAGTGTATGCACCAGTACCCCAGTACCCAGTACAGTACTGTACCTACCTGTACCGCCTGTCGGGATGGGACGGACACCAGTAGTGTATGTACCGGTACCCCAGTACAGTACTGTACTCACCTGTACCGCCTGTCGGGGTGGGACGGACACCAGTAGTGTATGCACCAGTACCCCAGTACCCAGTATAGTACTGTACTCACCTGTACCGCCGGTCGGGGTGGGACGGACACCAGTAGTGTATGTACCGGTACCCCAGTACAGTACTGTACTCACCTGTACCGCCTGTCGGGATGGGACGGACACCAGTAGTGGACCACGGTGCCGCAGCGGCCGTCCGGCAGCCAGGCGCCCCAGGCGTTCTTTCCGCCGCGCTGCCGCCACCGGTCGTCGGGCCAGAGCACGTCCACACGCCGGCCCTGGTTGATGCTGTCGTACACCACGCCGCCGTCCACCAGCTGCCGAGAGGGGAAGGGGAGGCAGTCAGTAGCAGCAGGGGACAGGGAGAGTCTCAGCATCGGAGGATCAACACGAGCGGATAAGTCTGGAAAAGCCAACAGGTTATACAGAGGCAAGGCCTAGTGGTGTGAAAAGAAACGGGAAAGGATTTCTGTCAGGTCATGGGTGGCATCGACAATGATGCTAAGAGACGAGTGTTTTAGATACGGAACAACTTCAACCAGCGTACACGAATCGAGATGGCAAAAATCACGATATGTTTCAGAGCCTAAAGCTAAGCATACAAAGCACAATTGCTCTCTAGTGCCGACAATCCGTCTGTATCACTCTCCTTCCTCACCTTGACTGTGGACCCCAGCGGCAGCCGGGGCTGGGGCGCCGTCACCCCTCCAGCGGTCGCCGCCGGGCTGCCAGAGCGGACCTGGCGCACCCTGGCCCGCGCCGGACTGGCCGCCGCCGTCGCCGTCGGGTACAGCATCAGCACCGGGGACACGTCCGGCGCGGCGGCTCCTCCGGCGGCAGTCGCGGCGCCGGGCCGGCGCGGCGGCGGCAGGCTGCGGCCCGCCCGGCCGGCGCACGGGACGGGGTACGCGCCAGAGAGCGCCGGCAGGGTGGCAGAGGTGGGTTTGACGCCCGGCGGGGCGACCAGGTGCTGTGGGAAGGTACCGGCCGAGCGCGGACCCAGGCTGCCGCGGCCGCTGCCGCCGCCCATCTCCTGACTGCCCGACACCGCGAACGTCGCTGTGGACCGAAAATGAACGGGGAATCGTCAGTAACCGCATACAGTCAGAGATACGGGCGGACGGAGGATCTCTCAGTTCTCATCACACAAAAGCTGGAGTGTGGACAGACAAGCTGTATTCATAGAAACAATAATTCGTGAGTAAGTAACGTAAACAAGCAACGCTTACCCAACACTCGCCCATCTCGACAGAGCAGGAGTTGGGGTGTATAACAACACTTACCCATCTGGACGGAGCAGGGGTGTGCGATGTAGCGCACGCCATCCTCCTGGAGCACGCTGCCGCCGGACACACAGCCCTCGCCGCAGCGCGCGCACAGCCGCTGCCAGGCGGCCAGCAGGCGGCGCTTGACCCAGCCGAAGCTGATGGGCCCGCCCACAATCCGGCTGATCTGCGCGTGCGTCTCCACATAGGAGGTGGTCAGGGGTGACACGTAGATGGGGTAGCCGATCGGCTGGTCGCACGACGAGTTGATGATGTTCCGCAGCGCCTGGAGAGCGGCGGAAGGGGTGGTCAAATAGATAGGAAAGGAGTATGCAGTACGGACATTCTCAACGAGGTCTGGCCTAGCATGAGAAGCTTCGAAGTTGAAAAATGAGCTTCATATGCTCCGTCAGCTTCCAGCTAGACCTGCCGTCCTTCTACGTTCCGATCCAATGAATGCTGCCGAGTTATTCTCAGACATATACAAATTACGTCCCAACTAACCGCGCTCCACATCCCAGCCGAAGTACGGCTCACACCCACCACCCTACACCCTCAGCGCTGCACCCTCAGTTCCGCACCTGTTTGGCGTTCTGTATGCTGCCTCTCTCGGGGTTCCTGTTTCTCAGATAGATGAGCTCCTGCTGCTGACCGGCCCACAACCCTCTCACACACTCCCTGTTCAGTTTGATGACGCGGAAACTGAGCTGGCGCTTGTTCAGCATGATGATCTTGTACTGGTCGGCGCCGTCGTCCAGAATGTGCCTGGGAACAGACGATATCGGTGGTGAGGCGGGAAAAGCAGTGAGGTTTGAGCGAGGAAAATGTTAACAATAAGAGTTGGGCTGACTCCTACTTATCACGCAAATATTTCGTGAGCCCCTAGCTTGATCTACCGCTCTCCTACCATCCTGCCTAGCGACCGAAAGACGTGCCAGTCATGACATGTCATGCCGGAAACGTGCAACTCTGCGCCACAGGTTTTATATATTAAAAACGTGATGCGAAATGGGGCAAAAAATCGCCAAATTTGGCCGTCACGGTTGTAAATCATGCGCAATATCTCGATATTCATTCATCCACAGTCATTGCCAAAATACCTATAAACAAAATAACGTCATTCCGAAGCTCGTTCCGCCCCAGCCTGCCTATCGCTTGCCGTTGCCGACGGCACAGCAGAGACCCCACTAACCGCAGAGCCAGCAGAGACGGCACCCCGGAGAGCACCGCGTTCCTCCAGGCCGGGTCGCCCTCGTGCGAGATGACCAGCTTCTCGTCGTGAGAGCGGATCGCCTCGTACAGACAGCTGGGCTTCTCGTAGTCCTCGGGCGACATGAAGTGGTCCTGGGGAGCAGATCGAAACACAGCGGGTCAAAAATGTCAGTCAACAGGTAGGACTGGAGGTAAGAAGTCAGCACTGGAGGCTAGGCTGCAGGAGACTGTTGCAGTAAGCATTTTGGTAGCTGCTGTCGCCATGACTGAGATCAGCAGCCGGTACTGGATTGTCAGATGAATTTGTCTCCAATGGTGGTCTTATACTGTGGTAAAGGCAGAAAACTCAGTCCTTCTTCAGTTCAACATCAGCCCACACTTCACATTCCTCACCGAAACCACCCTCAGTCCCCGACTGTGCGCCGTCCCTCTCACTTACCTGGTGTAGTTTGAGCGACATCCGGATACCGGGCGCCACCACCTTTCGCAGCAGGTCCATGTCCGAGAACACCCACTCGTCTCGGAGAGAGGTGATCCGGAAGTCGCCCTTGAACAGCGCGTGCAGACCGTACAGGAAAAACTCCACGCTGTAACAGAGGGCACAGGTAAATGAGATACGCTGTCATTAAGAAACATGGTGTTTAGCAAATTCCTGTCAAGCTCTTCAAAAATGCTAACGGTAAGAGTCAAGAGTAC